GATAATATTTAATCAAAATTAAAAGATAAATGCATTTATCCTCTGATCCAGCACAGATTCCTTCTGGGAAATTGCACTACAGCTCTACCTGCATCCATGTGAAATAACTTATGTTTAAGTCTGTGCATTGCAGTATTGCTTGTAGTCCCAAAAGATCGGTTCTGTCAAAGGTCTGGTCATCCATAGGAGACTGGCTAAGTCAGCAGCGCTGCACCTACCTAATAGAATATTACACATTTGCTGGAAAAAGAGCAAGGAAGGCCTTGGTGAGCAGCCATGGAATGCTCTCCAGGGGGGATGTATTGGTCAGAGAAGGAAAGCAAGGAGAAGAACATGGGTGGAGCAGGTCCTTTTGTTTCATCAGAGAGTGCTCGAGTGTATGCATTCATATTTTCTTACATTTACATAAAGTAAAAATTAGAATAAATAATAAACTAATAATGATTACATGTAGTGAGGTGCAGAGGAGTGGGAAGAGAAGCAGGCTTCTCAATCTACACCTTTCTGTAGTTTTTGTATTTGTATTTTTATTTTTTGCTGGCTGGTGGAGGAAACAAAAGCTTTTCGGTTTTCAATTCTCGAGTGTACTGCAAATTTCAGACATGTACAGAAAGTAGATGGAAAGCACAAAGGCATTCATGCATGCCAGTGATTTTCACGTCGACGTCAATTACAACATCTGTGTTCTCTTTTCATTTTGAGGTTTACTGTGAACACTGGAACATCTAACATGAGAATAGCTAAAGGACTTTTAGGTATTTAAGGTTATAAAACATTTTGGGGGAAAAATATATATTTTTTTTTTATTTTTTATATTATATTTTATATATATATATATATATATATTTTTTTTTTTTTTTTAATATCTTGTCTACTTGGCAAGTGGGAAATCAGTTGTGCCCAGGGTTTGAGGCCTGAGCAGGAAAGTGCGTAAGTGCCTGATGATGTTCTGCTGAATTTGTGAAGAACAGTGAGCTCTTGTGACTAGCAAACAGAAATCTCTACTTTGGTGTTATTTCCCAGTCACTGCTAGTTTTATGGCCACACACTGTTGTTCAATTCTGTGTATATAAACAGCCCAAGATAGCTCTGCATCTGTCTTCAAATGGATTCTCTGGTAGCACCTAATGTTGTAGTTGTCCACCAAAGGCTCATCCGGAGTTGTTTTCTCTTGTTGGAAACTTTCTTACCTTTACAGCACTGCCAAGTCCTTTTCTCATGACAAGGAATAAGCTCTTTTTCCCAGTCGATGCGAAACATGATCCTGCATCTCTGATTTTCTCCGCGTTCCCGTCAGAGCATGTGCAGCAGTGCATTCATGGGTGAGGTTGCTTGAAGCGTGCATCGCTGTCCTGCCTGTTTAAACCGCATCTGTCGGACACAGGGCTCTGTTAGTCTGTATCCAGTGCGTGCATTGCTGCTTCTTGGTGAATAAGCATTGCAGGCTGTATCGAGGAGGGTGAAGCTGGGGTCTCGCGCGTGTCATCTTTTGCCAGGACGTGCAGAGGAGGAAGCCTGCCCCGGCCTCTCATGTTCACCCCTGCAGAAGCCGGCACTCTGGCCAGGGCTCCCAGTCGCTGCTGCTTTGTCATATGCTTGCAAACCACACCTTCAGTTGCTGCGACAACGGAATGTGCACTCGCGTCTTCCTCCTTGTTTGTTTTCTTTTCTTTTCTCACCTTCCTTTTTCCCATGTTAAATACATAACTCCCTGAAATCCTAAGACATAGAGAGGATCAAAGGCGGGACAGAGTCAGTTTCAGGGTGTGCTGGGGAAGGGGCTTGCTCAGAAAACCCACCTCGTCTTCACGCTGTTTCTTCTCCTTCACCTTCTTCTTACTCTGGCCTTAATGTGTCACAGTGGTAGCTTGATCTGGGGAAGAACAAACACACACAGCAAGACAGAGCCTTGGAAAGCAGCCACTTTGGCAGATTCTTGGCTGACACAGCCCAGCCTGTCGTTGGAGCCCCTGAGTCTTCTGTACTTTTCCACCAAGCCGGCACTTTGTCAAAGGTGTCCTCTGTTGGTTGCTTTTCTGTGCGTTTATAGCTTAACGTCTTATCTTCTCTTCCATTTGATGAGGCCCTTGGCCTAAGTATGCTCATAACTCGGGAGGGCGAGCAGGCTCCCCTTAGCAGGCAGCACTGAGCAGCTCCCTGGCCCCTGCCACAGGGGGCGGCACAGCGAGAGGTTGAGTTAGTGCAAAGTCTGAGCGTATTATAAACCAGTAGACAAATGACACCTGCTGGGCATCAAAAGCGAAGGTAGACATACGAGAAGGGATCAGAGATCTTTTAATATTTTCCAGACGATCACCAGACTCTGGTGTTGAAGGCATATTAAAGTTATCATTTCAGACACTCTGACTTGCGTGCCTCAGATTCAATTGTAGGATATGAATTAGTGACACGTTCACATTCTTTGATGAGACATGTTTTTAGGAGCTTCACTGTAAGTGTGTGGGCTTTGATTTGACTTGTCGAACCTCTGGTTTAGAAACAAAGAGAGGTGCTTTTATTCTCCAGGCAGTGCTGCCGACTGTTGCTGTGGGCGTCAGCTCCACACTCTCTCTGGACCCCTGGGCCGAGTCTATACAGAGAGGACATCAAGTCGATGCCTGTTAGTTTATTTGTCAAAACTCTCAAGTAAAACAGGGAACCTCCTAAGTGTACTTCTTGAGAACCATGTGTGGTGCTGGCCTCCCCCAGCTCGCATGAGAAGCCTGAGACCTGAATCCTGTCTTGCTCAAATCCCACCTCTGCAGGGCCAAGTCCAGTTGACTGCCCTCTCAGGGTATTGATGTGAGGAGGAAACGCCTAATTACAGGAGCACCCCTGAGAAATAGGCGGAGGAGGGCCAGGAGCTTCTGGGCAGCAGTAACCAGCAGATTCCACCTGCAAAACCACTCCTGCCTCTGTGGGAAAGGAGCTCCCATGGGAACTGGGTGCACTGGAGGGCCAAGAATGTACTGCGGTGTGCAGCCCTTCTCTTCCTGAGCCTCCAGAACGCCGCTCTTAAACTTCCGATCCTCTAGAGTGCAGCAGCTGGGAGCTGGTGACAGGACGTCTCACACTGTGGGTGCATTGTCTCACATGTCACTAATCAGGCCCTTGGGTATTGATCCTGGAAGCCCAGTTGACATTCGACCATGTTCCGTGGGTCCCTCTCGCTCCACGAATGCCAGTGCCCGTAGCTTGAGTGCCACACCACTGCTTTCAAACTGCTTCTACATGTGCTGGTTGATCTTCCGTTCCACTGTTCGAGCCCAGATTTATAAAACCTTGCTGGGGTCCCACAGCTAGCAAGAGGTAGAACCTGGACTTGAAACTTGGTTTTGTTTCAAATCCTGCTGCTTTTCCTCTCTCCCACACAGAAACCTTTTCCTCACCAGTGTGGGCCTGAAACCTCCAAGATGTTATCCTCAAGCCCTGAATGTCATGGTCATCTAATTCCCTTGAAGAACCAGCACTTGCAGAAATTCCCCAAACCAGCCAGTGTGAAGGTGGGAGCTTTGGTAGTACAGCTCCCCTCAGGGCCAGGCCCGTTTCCTCCAGGACCCCCCGAGACCACATCTCTCATGCCCCTCACAAGCCCCTCTTCTTTTGGGCGCCCATCTCTGCTGTGTCCCCGGCCATGTCTTGCCCTCCCTGCTCTAGAGGGACCTCCCTGTGGTCTTCGGTTACCCCCATACGTGTGCGACTTCCTGTCTAGAAGTTCGGCTCCGATCACACTCCATGCTTCAGACTTGTGTCCGCCTCCTTCTGAGCAGCTCTGCTTATGTGTCTCAGAGATGCCTCAGATGCGGTGTGCCCCAGCGTGGACCCCTGTGCTCCGTGACCATTCCATCATGTCAGACGGCATCCCCTCCCACTCAGATCCCGCCGAACAGCCTCCTCATGTCTCTGGGACATCCCTGTCCGTCTGTCTGTGCTGCTCACAGCGCACTGGCCCTTTCTGGCTCAGCCCCTCTCACCGGGCTGGGGCCCTATTGCCTCGTCCCTCCGCTGCTCCAGCTCCTACGGGCTCCTCAGAACCTCCTGCCCTGTATGGTCTGCCACTTGCCTCCCCGTCCCCTTCTTCCGCGTCCTCCACATTCCAGCACTGGACCCACCACTTCCTCGCAGAACAGAGTCCTCTTCCCCTCTGTGCCTGCCTTCCCCATCTTTCTCTCCCTCCCTTGGGTAAGCCCATGGTCTGCAGCATAGATGTCTCCTCCAGAAAGCTGGAGATCTCTTCCTGTCCCTGAGCTCCCCAAGAACCCTGTGGCTTCTCCCTCGTAGTGTGAGCGTGTCACGAAGGACAGTACTGTTCACTCGGTTGTCTCCTCCAGAAACTGTCTCCAGGACTGAGCTGGTGCTCAGCACATCGTACATCCTCAAATATGCGTGATGAGCGATGACCACACAGACACGGTTGTGTTTACAGCACAGCACCATCCAAAGAGTTGGAAAGAATCACATGCCTGACAGCTCGGCTTCTCCAGCGCCTGAGAGCCGCTCCTCTGGGTTAGGGAGTTGGGCTTAAGAAACACCTGTTAAAATACAACCGTGTGATACAAATAATTCATAATGTTGCATTCACACAGATTATTGTTTTTCAATACAGTGTTTTGTAAGCTAAAGCAAAATCCCGAGAAAAGCTTCTGCAGGGGCCAAGGTCTGCAGAAACAGTGATGGTTTCGGGTGTTTGGTGGATCCCAGCTGGAAGGCGAGAGAGAAGGAGTGTGGCCTGGAGGAGGGGAGGGTGCGGGCGGAGGCTGCAGGGCACACACTGCCACGGCCAGGAGTCCAGCCCTGTCAGGCAGCCAGAAGGTGTTTTCCAGGCAGCGTCTTGGAGATGCTTCACTTCTGAGAATATGTGAGATCCCATCCCTTTTCCTTCAGCTGAGGAAAGTGTGTCTGCAAGCAGCAGCTCCCACTGTTTTTTCAGATGAAAGTTAGACTTGAGAGGAAAGTGATCATGGCGTGAAACTTTCATTGCCCATTCATTTGTCCATCAGCGCAGAAGCAGAAGAAACCCGGTCAGGTAACTGCACTCATGGCTTCTCCTCTGTGTCTCTTTCTCTCTGCAGTCGTGCCAGGCTGACCTCGTGAAGGACAACGGCCACAAGTACTTCCTGTCGGTCTTGGCAGACCCTTATATGCCTGTAAGGATAAGTGCCATTTCTCTTTCGGACAGTCTTGAGATCTGTGTCAGATGTCCCTGCTCACACGTCACGCCACTGCGGCGCCTTCTTACGAGGGCCTGGGAGAAAGGTCGCCCCTCCCCATGGATCACCCAAATAAAGAGGGCTACGGGGGGGCCACGTCCACACATGTGGCCCCTGCCACATCTCAAACGTTGCCTGTGCTTAGTGCTGTAGTGGTGTGGCCACTGCACTTCTGTCTCTAAACAAGAGACACGGGCGGCCTGTTTGGTGTGGCTTACATGAGTCTGTTTTCACTGCACATCTTTGCAGTGCAGTAAAGTTTGCTCTTCCAGCATCTGTCCGCTGAATTGGATTAGTGAGTGCTCGTACATCTGTAATGTGATAATACAGGTGCCTATGACAGTCCTGGAACATGATAAGATATTGATGTGCCTTATTTCAGGAAGGGAGGAAAGGAAGAAGGACAGAAGAGGTCGTTTGAAAGTTTAAATTTTAGGGCCAGCCCGTGGCTCACTCGAGAGAGTGCAGTGCTGATAACACCAAGGCCATGGGTTTGGATCCTGAAAAAAAAAGAAAGAAAGAAAGTTTAAATTTTAAATTTATTGTATTAAATTGTTTAAAGGTTAGTAATCCATGAATAGGGTATATGGTCACATTCTATAAATGTGCTATAATTAATTTCTTTATTCCCTGCCCCTAGCTCCAAGCATAGTAATGAGAATAAAATAGTTACCCAAAAATAATTCTTCAATATGACTTAATTTCTCCAGAATACCTAATTAACTATAACAGCTTGTTTACACAGTCTTAGGTGTCTTTGATTATATAAAGGAACTTTTGTATGTAATTTCACCCTCTAGTTGGTTTTTTAAAGTAAATGATTAAGGGAAAAAAACATTATAAACAGGACTGTTACATAAAAGATAAATAGTACTTATGTGCTTTAACTTAAGTGTTGCATTTAAACATCATCATAGGCAGTTAAGGTTTATACTTTATGTGAGTATTGGAAATAATCACTTCCCTGTTCTTCAGGGTAAGCAGGAATACAAATCAAGCAAATGAAAAAGAATGGTAAACTGGCAATTTGCAGCAAAATGACGAGCTAAGCTGACGTGAATGGTCCCCACATCAACTACCTACATGTTGAAGTTTTGAGGACATTGCAAAGTTTGAAAGAAAGAAAAGGAAATCCCCAAATGCCAAAGACTGAAGAGAGAGGTCCAAGGAGAGCCCCTGGTGCACAGCGAGCATCGCCAGCATGTGACCTTGAGGCTTTCCACGCTGCACCAGACCTGAGTCCTCTCGGGGCACCAGGCGCAGGGTGGGCAGCGTGGCCCACGTGACACCCCCACTCAACTGGGAGCCTGCAAGGCAGGCCCTGTCCCCTCATTTATAGAGGTCGAGCAGAACTGCCCCCTGCTTCTGAGACGTTTACCATTTGTCCACATCTGTGCCGAAGGGAATGAAGGGCCTTCATGAGAAGTTGAAACCTCCAATCTGTGCCATGCCTAGGTGCAGGGTCTGAGTTTGCATGAGAGTCACAACCAAGAGATTAACACAGAAACCAGGTCAAGATGCTCGAGATCTCCTGGGGTCCTGGAAGGAGCAGGTGCAGAACCTTTGTGCAGGGACACTTACACCTCCAGGGCATGGGGGCTCCAGCCAGAACCGCAGCCTGCCCTCAAGCCCACAGTCAAATGACCCACCGTAAGGGAAATGAGCTGAGCTCGTTGATAGAACAGGACCTAGCAGAGTGGGCTGAACAGATTAAAAAGTCAATGTAAGTTTAAAATGATTAAATAAAAACAGTAAACCATTGTGTTGTTTCTTCAGAAACACTTTTGGGCCTATTACAAGAAAATGGTACATTCTGTGTTTCAAGTAAACAGGCAGATCTGGGGGGGAAAAAACTTGTAATGGAAGGAAAGACAGTCACTGTCAGTGAAAACTCTCACAGGAGAATTAACAGCAGAGCAGACACCGTCAGTAAATGACGTCAGAGAATGAGTGGGGAAGTCTGGCATGCAGCACAGGAGAACACGAAAGAGACCAGAGCGACCTGATGGGAAGGCCCACCTCACGGCGTCGCTCCGGGCCAAGGGCTGGGGAGTGCAGGGCAAGCAACCTCCGAGTGCACTCACGGTGGCTGGGAACTCTCCAGACGTGAGGAAAGAAGTGACTTTTCAGGTTTAAAAAGCACGGTGCATCCTGAGAAGGTTAAATGAAAACAGACCCATGCATAGACGTACCACGGCAAAAGCAGCAAATGTCAGAGGCTCCATAAGAAGTCTTAGAAGTAGCCAGGACAAACAGGAAGCATCTTTGCGAAGGAGTAAAGAGCAGGCACAGACAGCAGAAGTCAGGGGGCAGCCTTCCACGTGCTGGGGAAGGTGCTGTGGGCCCAGAGTTCACACCAGCTAGGTCATCATTCAGGAACGAGGGCGGAGGAGATGTTTCAAAGACTGCAGTTTTCCACTTTCTGACCCCCACAGGAGATAGCTATGAAGACCGTGTCTCAGCAAGGAGGGAATAAGGGGCACAGGAAGCGGCGGGAAGCACAGAACCCTACAGCCATCCGGCAAATCTAATGAACATTGCAGTGAAAATAAATAATGTTAACAGCCGCTAGTGGGAGGGGTTCAACATGAGGAGGGATACTGGATTTAAGGCAATTTAAGAGCCTCGCACTAATCCCAGGGGAATATAGAACAGATTAGACTCATCATGCATGTGAGTCTAACCAGTGAGGCATTGTTAAAAAGGTAAAGGTAGATATGTAAGACTTCTAAGTCAGTAGAGGCTCAGAGGAAAGGAAAGAATGAAAATGGATCAGTTCAGTAGAAGACCAGGAAGGAGGGGCCGGCCCGGTGGTGCACTGGATAGTGCACCGCTTGGGAAGCGCGGCGCGCTCCCGCCCGAGGGTTCGGATCCCACCTACAGACCGGTTCCCGCTCACTGGCTGAGCGAGGCGCGGGAGCAACACCGAGGGTTGCGATCCCGTTGCTGGCGGGGGCAACACTGAGGGTTGCGATCCGTTGCCGGACACGGACAAAAGACAAAAAAAGACCAAAAAAAAAAGAAGACCAGGAAGGAGAAAAAGGAAGCAGACTTAGAACACTGTATTCGTGCATTTCAGTACCAGTGCACTCGACAAGAGGACNGGCAACACTGAGGGTTGCGATCCGTTGCCGGACACGGACAAAAGACAAAAAAAGACCAAAATAAAAAGAAGACCAGGAAGGAGAAAAAGGAAGCAGACTTAGAACACTGTATTCGTGCATTTCAGTACCAGTGCACTCGACAAGAGGATGATGTCGCTTAATAGGATTGGACAGAGGTGAGGGGGGCGCGATCAGGGAACTTCACACTGATTAACACGGGCGCTTTATGACAGAGGGACGGGCCCGCACCTGCCCGTAGCATCAGTACTTCAGGGGGACAGTGTGCTCCCTCAGAGGCGCAAGCCCAAAGCTGTCAGACCCTTTCTGAGAAGGCTGTTTTCTTTTGAAGAGTCAGATCAGAAAACTACAGTCAGCTGGCTCTCATTACGGTAGTTATGCGTCAAGCTTGTGGTAAAGATTCCGAAAGCATACCATTGTGCTTTGGGAATGATGAGCTTCCACCATGGGGGAAATGCAAAACCGAGGCTGACTTTTGTTTTCCAGGCTGAACACAGGACCATGACGGCTTTCATTCTCGCGGTGATTGTCAACAACTACAACACAGGGCAGGTGAGTGTCGCGGAAGCCCCCAGCCACCCCAGAGCCCTTCCTCTGGCATTGCAGAGGAGGTTACTCGTTGTCAAATGCATTTGGAAGCAGAGCTGCAACCCCAAGCTGCCATATTTATAGAGGAAACTGTGGTTCTGAATGTCTGATGAAGCAGCCTCAGGAAAGAGCACCCGGGGATGCCACAGGGGGCATGCTCCGCAGAGGCCCAGACCCTCCATTCAGCTGGCCATTCACGGGGTATGTTTGCAGGCTGGATTTAAATGAGGGAAGCTGAGCAGATCTTGTGATGTGATTGAGCAAGGCCTCCCAAGGAACGGGCACTGTCACCCCAGCCCCCACACCCCTGGCCCCAGGTCCGAGGGCCAAGGGCCACCCATCTGTGTCATGTCCACTCCTGCAGGAAGCCTGTCTCCAGGGGAACTTGATCGCCATCTGCCTAGAGCAGCTCAGCGACCCCCATCCCCTGCTGCGCCAGTGGGTGGCCATCTGCCTGGGAAGGATCTGGCAGAATTTTGACTCGGCGAGGTGGTGTGGCGTGAGGGACAGCGCTCACGAGAAGCTCTACAGCCTCCTCTCTGACTCCATCCCGGAGGTGAGTTAGGCCGTGGTGTTGATAGTGCTGCTCGTCAAGGGTCGCATGGGAACAGCGCCGAGGCCTGCCCATACTCACGTGTGGCCTTGCGTCCACAACCACCAATGGCTGCCCCGAGTGACCAGGCAGCACCGTAGGACCTTAGTAACAAGGCCATCATGCGGTTGATGGTCTTCACTTGAGCTAAGGATGAGCTCCGCCCGCAGTGGGATGGCCCCGTGGAGTCTCAGGTGACAGGCACCAGCACCTGGTGCCTGCCATTTCATCTCCACTTTACAGAGAGGGGCATACAGTGTCTCAAGCCTCATGCAGCCTGGAGAAGGGCTGGGGCACTGCCCAGTGCCCTCACCACTCCCCAGCCACCTGGCCAAGGGAGGATGCCTGCCACCAACCCCACCCAAGGCCCTCAGTCCCGGGTTGCTGGGAGTGGGTGGCACATTCGCCCTAGCCCATCTCCAACCCGCTGGTGGGTCCGAGCCTCTGGTGCTTTGCAGTGGCCCGGCACTCTCTCCTCCTCTCTCCTCTGCTCTGTTCTGCCACTGTGTCCAAAGATTTCTTTGCAGATCAGTTGCTCACGCTCCAGCCTGTCTTAGGCTTTGGACTAGGCAGCTGGTGCCAGTCCATGCTCTGGTCCACTAACTCTCATGCCCCTTGGGGGTCAGGGACACAGGGCTTCTCTCTGAAAAGAGGGGTCCTTGTGGAATTGCTTCCTCAGGGAGATATGTTTACTTATTTCCCATTTTATTTTCCAAAGGGCTTAAGGCATCAAACAAAAACTCAGAGTGTAACATTGCTCTGAAAAAGTGAGGAATGGGGAGGGGAGGAAGAGCAAGGACTGAACGGCAAGTGGAGGCGAGGCCATGCCGGCAAAGGATGCAGCCCGGGGCCAGTGTGGGCAGTGGTGGCTGGCAGGTCAGAGGACGCAGAGTAGTCCCAGCTCTGCAGTCACCAGTGTCCCCGAGATATCAGAGGGGCAGCAGTCAGGTGAGGCACAGGTGTCCCTAGGCCTGACATTGCACAGGCCCACCCTCCTTACTTGAGCTGTGCACAGACTCATGCCAAGCGGAAAGAAATGCTGTTTTCAAAAAGCTGTGCTAACATGGGGAAAATTTATTGGGGAAATGTCCGTAAACGTGAAAAGTGTCATTTGAAGTGAAAAGCCAGTGTGGTTCTGAAAAATATGGGGCTGTAGGGGCCGGCCCGGTGGCGCACTGGATAGTGCGCCGCTTGGGAAGCGCGGCGGCGCTCCCGCCCGAGGGTTCGGATCCCACATACAGACCGGTTCCCGCTCACTGGCTGAGCGAGGCGCGGGAGCAACGCCGAGGGTTGCGGTCCCGTTGCCGGTCCCCGGTCCGGTGCGGGGGCAACACTGAGGGTTGCGATCCGTTGCCGGACACGGAAAAAGACAAAAGACAAAAAAAAAAAAAAAGAAAGAAAAATATGGGGCTGTTTAGGAAGTATCTACAACACTCACCAGGCTTTAGAGAGCAGCTTCAGGAATTGTCAGCGTTGACCTGCCCTTGGAACAGTCACTGGGGTAGAGCTGGATTAGAGGTTAAACCAGTGTTTTCATTCAGAAATGCCTTCACTTGCAGTAGATTGAAAACCGAGAACAGAAAGCATCAGAGGAAATGATTAGGTGTAATTGCTCATTAATCTGCCTGTTCCCAGGTAACGTTTTGCTATGTCTTCTGCATTCAGCTACTGGAAAGTAATTGTACCCCTCCACCCTTGCTGTGTGGTCAGTGCAATCACAGCTGACATAGAAAACGTCCCAGAATGATTCTGGAGTCTTTGGTCATTGAACAGCTGCAGGACTCATCAGTACTTGTAATGTGGCTGTGCTGGCTGTGTGCATTGGGTTGGGGCCGTGCAGCATGGTCCTCACAGCGGCATCACAGTCAGAACCACATCCAAGAACTGGAGGAGCCTGTGTTGACAGGTGAGGGCCCGTAGGGGCACTGGGCCTGGCCTTGAAGGACGGCAGAGAGCCAGCTCCACTGCTGGGGAGGAGGGAGTCTCGGGGATGGGGCTGTGGCAGAAGGCTGCCTCCCACCCTGCCCTCTTGCCACACAGATGGCAAAACTGTTTTGTGAACCAGGAGGACTCTCTTTAGAGGCTGCATGTTGGATTTCGTTGGGGATAGTGGACCCTACAACCTTTTTCAGAAATCTCTACCATGTGTTTGTCAGTAAGCCACGGGTCCAAGCTAAAAAAAATTATAGCCACTGTGCTCGATCTGAGAGTGTTTGGTGGAGAAAGTGGCAGTCCTGCCTAAAGCTTTACATGGTGGGCTGTTGTGAGCTGCCCACTTGTGCATTTCATGTCAAACTGTGGTTGGGGAAGTCCTTGAAAACGCAGTGCCGTGTGTTCCCGAGGATGCCAGCACCTGCTGCAGCACACATCAGTCTAGGTCTGTGGCCCCAATACAGCCATGAGCCGTAGACCCCTGAGCGGCAGGAGCAGAGCGTGGCTTGGAGCAGGCCCCTGCCCCTGCCGCCTGTGAGCTTGGGCCACTCCCACCCGCTGGGCCTCTGTCTCCAGATCTACAGAGCAGAGGTCAAGACCAGATCCAGCTCATGAGCGACTGCGCTAAAGGACACAGAACCAGGTTCTGCACCTGGGCAGCTCTTTCAGAGCAGCGATCAGCTCACCCTGCCCCTCAAGGGCCACTGCTTACCCCATGGAAACACGCACCTGTTGGGCACCCGCGATCTATGTTGATGAAGCTGGCAAGTGTGAGTCAGCTCACACACCTTCCAGAAGTGTTCCGTCTCAAGCCCTCCACCCCAGCTACCCCCATTTCTCTCCTCCTCTGCATCCCAAACTGTGTCTCTCCTTTGCTCCCAAGCTGCTCTTGTCACTGTCGCCGTGGCCCCCCTTCCCCTCGCCAAGGTCAGTTCTCAGCCTGAGTCCAGTGTCCCGCTCTCCATCCAGGGCCGTGGATGCCCTCCCCACATGCGCGTGTGGCCCTGACCCCTCCTGCTTTGGGGTTCCTCAAGAGTCACCCTAGTGAGGTCTGAGGTCGTGTGCAAGGAGAAGCGGCGCCCTGATTTGTTCATCTGTAGTTCCCACCTGTGCCCCCCAAAGGTGAGCTCCTCCAGGACAGGGCTTGGGGCGCCCTGTCCCAGCACGTGGACTTGGCATGCGAGCAGAGCTGGCTAAGCGTCTGCCAAAGCCCTCAGGGTCTGCCGTGCTCTCCTGCGCTGTGGGCGATAAACGCTCGCCCTTCCCAGGTCCTGCCCCAAAGACCACACCCCACTGCTGGAAGCTTCTCTGAGCTCCACCCTGAGTAGGGGTGCCCAGGAGCTATGAGGTGCGTCCACCACCACCGCCAGGGCCAGGCTGTGTCCTCCCCCCCCACGTCCAAACCCCACTGCACACGTGCCGTTCACAGTAGTGTCGCTGTGTGTCACATACGTCTTGCTGCCAGCTTCAGGACGGAGGTAAATGTTTCAAGCAGACACAGCCAGACCTGCCAGAAGGCTGGGAGACGGAAAGCGTCCGGACGGTGGAGCTTCCAGTGACTGCCAGCATGAAAACATGAGTTTCATAGTCCTCACAGCCAGGAAACCTGTTGGTTTTTCACTCATTTTAATGGTCTTATCAATCACGTCAGTCACAGCAGCAATCAGCATCCGTGATAACCTTTGGAAGTGAACACAGAAGCAGCCACGGGCTGGGAGTGCATGCCCCCTGTGCCGCGTCCTCTCTCTGGAACATCACATGGTCCTACCTCTCCGCAAGCAAGGCTGGGGCTCTGGACCCTGCACTCTTCCTACCTCGTTCTCTGGCTCTTCCTCTCCCTGGGCCATTAGCCAGGGCCTTCACATGCTTGGAGATTAGGGCCCCTTCATTCCCTCCTCAGGGCAGCGTGTCCCCACGGTCTCACCTCCCCACTGGCCACAGAACCCAGCCTCCGGCGGCCAGCCCTCTCCTCCCAGACATGCTGCTTAGTTGCCCACATCCAGCCCTCAGCATCCAAAACCAGACTAAGGCTCTCTTTCCCACACCCAGCTCTCCTCCCAGACATGCTGCTTAGTTGCCCACATCCAGCCCTCAGCATCCAAAACCAGACTGAGGCTCTCTTTCCCACACCCACACCTCTCTAAGACAGCCTGCCCCGCCCTTGGTCCTGCCTTGGCCGGGACCCCTGTGCCCTTCCTGGGCTTAGCTCTCCTGTTTACCACATCTGCTACTTCGACATCTTGCTCCAGCCACACAGCCCTGTGGCTGCTCTCTCTTCTCCCCGTGCTTACAGCTCCCAGGCCACTCTGTCCATAGCATGCCACCCTGCGCTTCTCTAGGCATAACTGCAGGCTCCACTGATAATTCCCTCTTCATGGCCAGATGGCACGGCAGGCTTGGGCGGCAGGGCTGGGATGTTGAGCCACAGCATGGTGACTTCATGCAGGTACTGGGTGGCTTTTGGTTGCTCATCAGGACTAATTCTAGCTGCAGAATTAATTTTTCTAAACAGTCAGCAGAGCCCAAAGCAGCCCCCGTGCTAATGACTGAGTCCGATGGACTCATATGAGATGGTGAGGTGCTCAGAGAGAAAACCACAGCAGCACCGTCGTGGGCAGGGCTGCCCTCTCGGGAGGTGGAGCTCGCTGTCTGGTCATG